CTCTCTTTCACAAGAAGCTCTCTCTTTGCTTAACAATAAAACTCAAATGAAATAAAATAAAAAAAACCGTTTATATGAGGTTGTAGATATCGTTTCGCCGGTTCCAGAGACCTATGTTAATAACTCTATTTCGCTAATAATGTCGATTACGTTAGTTATGTTAAGGCGGGCAGAATACGCGATCGTGTGATTTACATGTTGCGATCATATTTAAAATTTTAATTGCCCTATGAAAATATCTAAATGCCTAAGGTGTTCTAAATGGCTAATATTTTTTTTTTCCTAATAATAATAGTCTGTACAATAGCTAACTTTAAATGAGTATCATTACGTCACTTGTTGTCTTTTAACAAAACAACACCCTTGTACATATATACCATTTAAATGTATAACATTTAAAATTTATATTTTAATTTCATATTTTGTGCAAACATTTTGTGGTTTCGCTCTGGCCTACTAATGAAGTCCATAGCTACTTAGTTTAGTATTTAGTATATGTACGATTTTAATAAGATATATAGGCCGTTAAAAAAGTAGGTTTAATTTATGTTACACGGAGAGACTACTCGCATAATTTTCTTAACTAATGTGTATCGAATCCTGAGGGCCTCCTTTTTTCCGTCTCTTACAAAGGAAACAGCCAAGTGGAAAATTAGTATGGTACGTCAAAAATTGAATTGTCCGAGTTCCTTATGGAAAGTTGTTAGTACCATGTCTACCCATGATTTTCAGACGCACTTTTTTAACACTCCATATAAGATATATTAGGGTTATTACGTATTAAACAATTTATGTAATCCGTTTAATATAAGGCCTTAAAGTATTTATCTACGTACTTAATTCCAATTTTGTGGTATTATGAATAAATGTTATATTAGTGAAAACATTATTAAAAATTATATATGTAAGACATAAGAAAATATGAAAGAGAAATGTGTGGTAATAATTAAGTACTTCGTCAACTCTTGTTCGTTTGTAGGATATTAGGTAAAGCCTGTTGGTAATGTACAGTTCTATATATTATGAATTAGATTATATATCCACTTAGAATTTGATTAATGAATTCTTTAATATGAATACGGTTTTAGGCTAAGAATTAAATTATGTATAAGAAAAAACTTACAGAAACTTACCTATGACATTTTGAATTTCGTTGTTGGTCATTTACGAATTTCCAAACTGAAGAAGTATCCATATTTGGTTTGAAATTTATTTTAAATTATAGCAATAAATTACCGCTGGCACTGGCATAAATGCATTTCCCGTTGAGATACGCTATGGAAATGTATTTGCAAGAAGGGTTACCTCCAAAACGTATACGTTATATCGAATCGGATATCCCGTAGGTACGTTTGATGAAAGTGCATTTCTCACTAATACACCTAAGGTGCATTTCCGTATATCAAATCGAAAATAAAATCGGGACTTTCGTCGGTTCCGTTCATTTAGTTTTGAACAATGTGGGTTTTAATTTATGGTCTTTGTCAATTTAAAATAACAACGAAAACGTATAATTTAAAATACCAGCGTTAATTTTTTTTGTTACGGTATCAATTTCATTTTATGTAAATTTATATTTAAAATCACGCTGATTATATACATTGTTAACTATATAACCTTTAAATATAAAAAAAGTGTAATTGAAGTCGTAGTTTAGTCAAGGAAATATATTAAGAACATTATCCAGTCGTAATTTGATCATTGTGGTGTTTTTGGCATGTAGATAAAGAAAATTCATAAAAAAATTAAATTTTTGATATTAGACATTAAATAGTTTCGGTATTACGTACAGTCGATGCTCTAAGTTACCTGACCCTAAGACGACCTTTTGGTTCTGGGAGCTTTCTTATGCATTCAACCGAAAAGTGTAAAGCTATTCCAGCTTTTTGATAGAAATTTATGTTATGTAATGTATAAAATTAAAGACCAAGTTGGCTTAAAAAGATTCTTAAAACGTTAATCATTAATAAGGAAGTCATACCAAAATGAATTTTACGGCTCGGCTTAGGTTAAATGTTAAGTTTTTTAATACTTTTCTTCACACTGATCTATTCAAAACGAAATATTCGATTACGAGGCCAGGCATCTTAGGGCATCGACTGTACATGCATATGGTTTATTCAAAACATTCAATTTGAACATATAGAGTTCAATTATTTTTTTTTTACTTACTTATTGGTATTTGTACTAATTATGTAAGATCTTTAGCTGTATAGCTAATATATTTTCTATTAGGTTGGAATGATTTTTTCATCGGATTTTCCATATTTACGTTTTAAAGCAATAGCGTAGAATTTTAAATGAACTTTGATTGGAAAATGAAATTGCCTTTGAATATAAACAAAACAGTATTTTAAGTACTTCCCAAACATCATACGTATTCTTGTTACTACTGTTCTACAGACGTTGTTATTAATTATTCGATGTTTAATAAATTAGGTATTTTAGACTAGATGTGTCGATTTCTTACGATTTCAGATATAAACGAAGCTGTTATACTATTGTTTCTTGGTGTTAGTGTTTGAACTATGTCATTGCTGTTATATAAACAAATAATGTATCTTTGAAATGGTAACATTTTCTTCCCTAAATATATGTTTGAAAATTTCCTTTTGACTTTTATTGTTATGGACATTACTATCTGCGATTTTTGCATGGGGATATTTAAGGATTTCCTTATTTCTGACCTTTTTCTAAAGCTACGCAGTTAAATATGCGCTTATGGTAGAAAGTTTCTATTCTCATCATCTCATTTATTGAAAAGCAGCGAGTCGGAAAAAGAGAGTCTCTACTCTCGAGAATTTTGTCTATTTAGTAGCCGTAGAGCTCCTTGTGAAGGAGTTCGTCCAGGGAAATACTGCCGCTTTACCTTATTCTGCCACCAAGCAGTAATGTGAGCATTTCGGCGTTCCGGTTTTGAAGGTAAAAGGTGCTGGTGAAGTTACAGGCACATAGGACTTGTCAACTTGTTTCATGATGACAGACGCAGTGGCAGTGCCCACACATCTTTGTGATTTAAAGTTTTGAGTGGCACTGCAACTGTCATGGACAGGCGTGTCGCTTGCCACCAGGTGCACGACATGTTCGTCTTGTTACTTGGTATCATAAAAGTAACAAAAAGCTGAAGTAATAAAAATATTACTATTTGCGATTTTTGCATGAATACCTGGGGATATTTGAGGGTTACTTCATTGCCGATATGTAGACCTTTTTTCTAAAGTAATTGTTTTTATTATTGGTCTTTTCTTTTAACGATTGATGACATTTATAATTAGTATATCTTGTGATATTTATCTCCTAATAAATCTTGGTTGCTTGGTTGCGGCCTCCATTCAGTAAGTAGGTTAGGTTATATGAAAAATCAGCACCAACTGAGCGAGCTACGCGAGAGTGGCGAAAGAAAGTGGAGAAAGTCAGTTTGCTTGCATTTATGAACATGTTTTCAGGTCAAATTATATTATTGGAACAATAGAATATTTGTATACAAATTAATCAACATGTACTTAACTTTGAAAACCTATAAAAATACCTATATATATAATAAAAGTACCTATCTAAATTTTATTTCTATCTATCTATCTTCTGCCTGCTGCTTTAGCAAATATAACACGATCAAGTATTTAACATGCGTATTTTGAACAAACGCAATTCCTGACTTCTATTCGCGAAGCTCCGCATTATTTAGCTCGACGAGATATGCTGCTCATCGCCGAGTTATTTGGCATAGAACAACTGTCCATTGACCAACTGTCTACTTCAGTTGGACGTAAAAACGTTGTTCCTCATGGTTTCAATTACGGAATTTTAAATGGCAGGGTAACTTGCAATACACAAGAACAAGCGAATACAGTGGATTATCTGGGATAGTAAAGAGAGTAAGATGAGTATTATTACTTTTTGATATACATACTAATAAATAACGTAATTGTTTGTGTTGAAAATTGTAATGGCAGGCAAATTGATCGTTGCGTGCAGTGTTTTGTTTTTGAAAATAATTCTTTGTTTTTAATTTTTTTAGTATTTTGAATAGCCTAAGAGCGTTTGCACACTATATATTCCGAACTCTTTGACGATTTAACCAGATCGTTCGATTAGATATCGTTCTCGAATCGAAGGGCGCTTTCCGAGCTATTCAGAACATTCGAGTTAAACGTTCGATTCGGATTCGGATACGGTATCGTTATCCAACAGCGTTTACCGTAGTTAGCCGGTGAAATAGATTATAAGAAAAATGGAAATCCTTTTAAATACATTTTTAAGACTAAAGGGCTAAAATACAGGAATGCATTAGTCTTGCATCACAATAAATTATTAAAATTTAACAAAATCCAGACTTTATCTAAACAATAAGAGATTTCCATATTACATTCTTGCTTTGTAAACATTATGACGTTCGGTAAATTTCATTCCATAACTGTGTTTTAAATAAAGTTTGTAGCCTTTGCCGGTCGAGAAGTTCGAGTAATCGTATGGGTGTGAACGTCATTTCGGTTAAGTTTCGAATACGATAGTTTGACGTTCGAATCGGTTATTGTTAATAAAAATGAAAAGAAATCGTACGATATCAAAACGAATCAGTCGACAACTGAGACAGCGTTCTGAGGTTCTGAATCGACCCCCAGTTCCGAATCCGAGAAATGACGGCCCGGAATGTCACAAGGATCATTTTATTTCCAGGTGTACAAGCGTTATTCGTATTTTCTCGGACCTAGTGCACAAGCGACATCCGAAGTAAGTCCGAGTTTTCTAGATTTGTATAGTCTCCGATTGGGATTGCGTAAACGCGTTAAGACGAAAGGATCAGGAATTTATATAAAAGTAAGGTTTATTAAAGGTTATAGTACTTAGTAAAGGCTAATTGTACAAGATAGCGTGACAATTAACGTGGCATTCTCTCTTCGTTCTTATTTTGTATCTCTGGGATATCTACCTAATATAAGAATTGGTAGGAAGGAGGGAAAAAATAAAACATAAAAACTCGACATATAATTATGGACACAAAAATCTTAAAGCATCTTTTATGAGTAAATTGAAATAGGTAACACATTCACATACCTTAACGTATAGTCAACAACATATTAAGTTTTAAAGAGTAAAGCCAAAGATGTTGTTCACTGTACATTTAAACTAAATTAAATTATGGCTGTCACAGTGATGATCTTAGATATATCTCCGAGAGTCGTCAACTTGAACTGGACATTGCCTTGATTTTTTTTTAACCCAACCAGTATACTGTGAAACAAACTGCACGCGGGTTCCATTTCATGCAGCGGACGCTCTTAGAAGATGACAATTTGACAAAAAGCATCGATATCGAAATATGTACCAATGGACCAGTTGTTACAATAGACAAATAGAAAACCACCGTGAGACTCAGACATATCAAGTAAAATAACGGATAACTCTATATCTATTTAAGTCGAATTTTTGCTCGACATGTGTCGGCGAGAAACTATCCTTGTTTGCTTCATTTTGTTCAAAATGGCTGCAAGGGCTTTGGCGCGCAGTTTCCGTTGAGTCACCGCTGCGGAATCTCATGATTAAGGACCACGAATTGGTTCGAAACATGTCGAGCAAAAATTCAAGTTAATTATGTGAGTTATCCATTATTTTAGTTAATAGACAAAATACATAATACTTTTGATTTTCCTTTACTCGAAGTAATTTTTGCTGAGAAGTGTGTGTTGTTAATTAATTAATTTAAAAAATTGTTGTTAAGTAAAGCTAAAAACTTACTTATATACTTAACTATCGTAAAACACTAAGCAGTGGCAAACAACAGATTTTTGAGTACATTTTTTTACCCCAACTTACATATCGATACTTTTTGTCTGATTTAATAGAGCATTAATAAATACTAAAACTAAATTGTCCTTTATCTAGTTATAGTTTAATTGAACATCAACTGTGTCCTGGTGCGACCGATCGACGTAGACGTCGTGATTTACCAGGGAATCCTCTTGCGTACGGCGGCTTCGCGTTTGTCGTTACGTAGTATACACCACGTGCACTGAAAGAAACAATCTTACAAATCATGGGAACAGAGTCGAAAAGCATTTTCGAATCGAACGATTCGAAGTGATAATTATCGATCTTGATATTTATAAAATTAATTCTCTTCTTCTTTATAATGTTATTATAGCTTCATCGATACCATCGATGGTTCCGCCAATGGAACAACAAATCGACGCCTTACTTTCTCGTACTCGTATCTTATAAAGAGTGATTATTCAGGAGATGGCAAAACTTTCTATTTATTTTAAATTTCTTATCAAGGGTGTTAATTTGGATGCATTACTTTAAGAATAGGTAAAAGTCAGTGTGTGAATACGAAGGAAATGTGATGTGAAATCAGGCCGCAGAATTTGTATATACAGTCCATTTTTTACATTTCAGTAACTTTGTGCTTGTGCTTTGTGCTTTGTAGCTTTGGTAGCCTAATGGTTTGACCTACTGCCTCTCAAGCAGAAGGTCGTAGGTTCGAATCCGGGCTCGCACCTCTGAGTTTTTCGGAATTTATGCGCGAAATTTAATTTGAAATTTATTATGAGCTTTACGGTGAAGGAAAACATCGTGATGAAACCTGCACGTTGAAGAAGGTTCACAACCCTCGAAAAAACGTGTGAAATCTCCAACCCGCATTGTGCCAGCGTGGCGGACTATGACCTAAAACCCTCGCCTAGAGGAGACCCGTGCCTAGCAGTGTATACATATTTTGATGATGATGAGTTGATGTTGATGATAAGATGGACTGTCTACAATACTTACGAAACTACGTGTACGTACATCCATCCAATTCATAGGTACAGTAACGTGGATATTGGATGACGTAATTCCTACACTCCTATAAATTGTATAATCTATCATTACCATCAACCCATTGCTGCGCACTAGTTAACTGAAAAGAAAGAGTTTAGGGTCTGGGTCGCCTCCTGGCCTAATGCACTTGAGGAATTCGCGAGTCTTCGTTATGTTGTATTATTATCTGTGACATGCAGGTTCTATCACGGTGAAGGAAAACATCGTGATGAAACCTGCACGTTGAAGAAGGTTCACAACCCTCGAAAAAACGTGTGAAATCTCCAACCCGAATTGTGCCAGCGTGGCGGACTATGGCCTAAACCCTCGTCTGAAAGGAGACCCGTGCCCAGCAGTGGGACATATAAATAGGTTGATGATGAATTTTGTGCTATAAGATACGAGTTTGAGAAAGTAACGCGACAGAGTCAAATGTCAATCTCAAAAAGAGTCACAGTTAGTTTTTTTTTATATTGACTTTTTTTCGTGTTTATTTTTTGTCACTGGTCGTTATTAGATAAAAATTTAAGAAACAAAGCTATGAATCAGCACGGATAATTATCGTATATGTATTGGATATTTATCAAAGAATATATTAATTAATAAATTCTTGATAATTTCGAATCCGATTTTTAGATATAATATTATTTAGGGGGATAGTTAGGTGTGCTGTCCAGACGGTGTTATTTATTTTGAAAAATTATAATCATTAAGGCCCAGAAAATTAAAATGTAAAACCTAAAAAAGGTATCACTTACTTATGCGAAACATGTTCTCCCATCAGTACGTATTCTGTGTCTTTTGGTTCACACCATCCAATTAGGTAGGAGAAAAGATTTGGACACGGGCCCGCCCAAAATCCGGCGCGGCTGTTTATAGACTCGATAAAGTATGGCGTCACCTTAGTGTGGTCGCAGGATAGGGTTTCTAGACAAAATAAAACAAAAAATATTATCAATGAAAAATATTCTTATACTAGCATTTTTGATACTACTAAGGACATCTAACGGCGGCAATGAAAACTAATTGAATTCGCGCGCTCGATAACGGCGCGCGGAACACACATATTGAATGACTGAATGAATGACTATTAGTTTCTTCATGTTGGGAGCACTGACATTTCGTACACGAACTTGCGCCATCTGTGTTTTAAGTAAAAAGTTTTACGCAGTACTTGTTACATTTTTAATTCTCAAATAGTTCATAAAACTACGTGTAGAGGGCGAAAGCAACACAAAACTTTTCTTCATATTTTGTGAATTTTTTTTTTTTATTTTTTTTTATGACATTAAGTAACGGGACGAACAAGTCGTGTGCCTGATGGTAAGCTACACGCCTGCCCATAACAGTTGCAGTGCCACCAAGAGCTTTAAATTACAAAGATCTTGGGGGCACTGCCACTGCGCCCGTCACCCTGAGACATAAGTTGACAAGTCTCATGTGCCTGTAATTTCACCAGCACCCTTACCCTTCACAACCGGAACACAGTAATGTGACCATTACTGCTTGGCGGCAGAAATAGGTAAGGTGGCAGTACTTCCCTGGACGAGCTCTTTCACAAGGAGCTCTACTGCTAATAAAATTATGAATGAATATTATTAAAAAAAATCCAACGAAAAATTATTTATGGTTACAGAGGATGGGAAGTCAGAGGTCAGGGATTGCTCGACGAGTAACAATTGCAAAGTCGAGGGCCAGTGAAGAAATGATGAAAGACTAGGGAATGAAGGAGATGTATTAGACACGCTAGTGGACAGCTGACTATATTAGTTTTTTAACCGTCATTAAAAAAAGGAGGAGGTTCTCAATTTGACTGTATTTTTTTGTATTGTATGTATGTTACGCTATAACTCCGGCGTGAACCGATTTTGATGTTTCTTTTTTGTCGGAAAGATGAGACCAATATTGAGATAGATTGGCCCCATTTAAATTTGACGAAAATATACCACCTCTAAGGGTGACAAATTAGTTCGTATACTAACTATAGGTATAGTTCAGTAAAAAGATAGATTGGTAAGTTTAGTATGACAGGTAAACTTTGTGTTCTTTATTTTGAAAAGAATGCAAGTATTTCCGAGCAAGTTATAGAAAAAAAATCTTACGGAAAATGGTGTCGTGGGCACATCCAGGTTGGCTAGAACCGCCATTAACGTAAAAGTCAGCGTGGCCATTGGGTCCCCATTGTCCTAGAATTCCAGCACCGGTATGCAAAACATCCACAAACAGTGCATCTGTGTAGTCCAAATCACGGGAGCGATTGTTGCCCATGTAGAATAATATCGTGGGATCCAGACCTAGAAAGATTTGACAATAATAATTATTGTCGTATGCAATTAAAGTTCTCAAGAGTCCAACTACCTCAGCTGGAATTCAAATTTTTCAAGTACTGAATTGGTTTTATTGTGCGGGTCGAGCGACAGGGACACTGGCTTTATTTCAGAATCAATTTTTTTACAAACGAAATTCAAGCCATTTGAAATTTTTTTTTATCGTTTATTATGCGTGGTCTATTTAGTTCTGTTAATATGAAAAAAAAACATTGGTATATGTAAAGTACCTATCGAGGTAAGGTTGTATTCCATTTCTATCGTGAAAATTTTTAGGAATCGTGTTTTCACACAATATACTAACCAGTGCGTATCTTCAATTTTATTATATATTTTATCCAAAATGATTGATTCAAGGCCATTTGAGTCTTAAAACATGACTATAAAATAAGTATATAATAGGTAAGTTGGTGCAGGACATTCAGTACTACGTGGATTAAAAAGTCCACATGTATTATTGTAATTTGACAATATACCTGTAATCCTGCCAAGTTTGCCCTGTTGCAAATTGTTAGCGACCAATCCTAGGATATGGGCGCCGACACTGTACCCGATGGTGTGAAGCTTCTCTGGAGGTACCGGCTTCACGGGGTGGTATTGAAGGTATTCCACCAGTTGAGCGATGCACAGACCCGCGAACCGCGGCGCCCATTCTATCTGAAATATATATACAGTTTAATGAACATCATGGTGGTCAAACATTGTGACATTCAAGAAACTTAAAAATTATATTTACAGTGTTTAGGAACTTCGCTTAAGTGAATTGTAGCTCAAATGTCTCAGTAAACTATAATAAAACAGTCTATGAACATTTATGCATACTTTCAACAGGCTTGAAAGTAGGTAATTAATAATAATAATAATAATAATAATAATAATAATAATAATAACGCACACACTCAACATAGCCCCGCACTAGGGAAACCCTGTGTCGCGGGTGCCATGGACACACACATAGACAACCACAAATTACACCCAAACTCACGAGAGAAATAAATGTAGGTCATACAAATATTTCTCCCGGCCCGGGAATCGAACCTGGGACCTCTGCGTGGCAGTCCGGCATGGTAACCGTTCGGCCACGGAGGCAGTTAAAATTATATTGGGTTTCAGATTATGCGTGATATAAAGCACAATGCTCTATAGTCCATTTGTTTAGGTACTTCCTTAACTAAATCTAAACAATCTTGATACACACTTTTATTGAAATATATACTTAACAAATGAGTAGGTATAAAATAGGCATGCAATTTCATATGAAGCTAAATATTTGTATTTGAAAGTAAGTAAATAATAAGTAAAAATCACTTTATAAATGTATATTTCATTAAATAGACATATCAAGATTGTTTACATTTAGTTAAGTACCTAATAAGAAGCACAAACTACCAGATCGCAAATATCAAATACTTCTCTATATTACTACCAATCGAGTGGCAGTACATCACCGAATTAACTCTACTACAAGGAGCTCTACTGATACTGAAGCTCTACTGCTTCTGTTTGCTAGTGTCTGAAAGAGAAGGCGTTTTATTGGGACACTATACGCAGCAATAATTAGAAATGGTTATCGTTACTACATTAAATAAACGAAACCGTTTTTACATTTCGAATGAGAGCGTGGTTCCTTCAGGGTAGTAGTGGTAGATAAGTGAACATCTCGTAGAATTGAGTAATGAGTGGTTACTTAGAATCAGCGGTCCAATTCCGGTCTCTAAAATGCGGTATTGAAAAACCTGACACAAATATTTATTAACAAATAATTTTAATGAATATTATTGCCTTCAGTTGACATTTTACAATAGTACATCAAAACCCTGTTATATAATTACTTGAAACTGATTATTTAGCATATTTAATTAGATTTATAAACACATTTATGATAATTAAAGGTGCTAAAACATGATTTGTAGTGTCAATTAATAAAATAGTTTGACGGTGCCATTACTTTACTGTTGTTTTAATAGCATAAGATCTTTACAAACTGCAGGTTGTTGTGAACTTGCTTTCGGTGCTACTTGATTGATTATAAAACAATTAAGTGTTTGACAATATACGTAAATTACATTCGTCACAAATATGCTTCACATTGATAAGAGTATGACGTACAAATATTTCATATCTGTAGAAATGTTGAACATTACACTAATGCTAGACTTTTGCGTCAGTTATTCGGGCGTATTAACGGGTAGTACTTATGCAAACAAAATTTCGCATGATTGGTATGATAAAGCCATATCTGCAAAGTGACATATTTTCAAAAGACAGGTTTAAAGATTTTAGAAATAAAATAAGTTGATAAAATTTTTATGCTCAAATGGGAGAGTTATAAAATTTAATATATACCTACACGATTTTTTTCATGTAGTTTGTATTATTTTATATCTTTCATGTGACAAAAGCACTTTGACGTGTGATCGCATGTGGCTTTATTATATTGTTGTACCAAGAGTATGATTTTAAGAAAACAGACGTTTTTAGATTGACATAGGTTCTAATAATTTACCTGCATCACAATTTACGTTGAATATTTTTTGTCTTATAAATTACTTTAATCTGTTGTTACACTTTAGTTGTTATATTTTAATCTGTAGTTAGTCTGGTGTTAATTTGTGCATGAACAAAATTCCAGTAAAAATCTGTTTGTTTGTACCCTTTACAAAATAAGCTTAAGCGTCCAGCTGCACGACGACGCGAAAGTTTTCGCGCGGCGACCGCCCAGTTACCACGCTTTTACGTACAGGTACATTAATAGCGAATATTAATTCTATTTACTGGGCAACAACACTGAAATTACTCGGAATAATACAACCGCGTGGTCGCGTAGACCAAAGTCAGGCCAGTCTCGCCCAGGCGCCCGGGACGCTCATTTAAGTTAAAACGTAAAAAGTTAAATAAATAGAGCCTATTTTGCCAGGACAGTTAGATGCTAGCGGTCGCTGCGCGGCAGCCGCGCGGTATGAGCCTGATGAAATTCATGTCGAATAAACACGCCCTAAGAAGTGATGAAATTACAGGCATATGGAACTTGTCTCAGGGTGACGGGCACAGTGGCAGTGTTCCTCAAATCTGCGATTTAAAGCTCCGAGTGGCACTGCAACTGTTATGGACAAGACTGTCCATCACTTACCACCAGGTGCACTACTTTTTCGTCCCATCACTCTTAGTATTATAATAAAAGCTGCAAATTGCAATTATATTCTCATATTTTAGCTTTTACAATAGTGTATTATTCGCACGAAGTTACATACGGGCCATGCTCTCAAAATAATATAATGCATATTTCATAACAAAAACAGTACTTAACATTGTTACTGCAAGACAGTATCATTAAGTCTGAATGGAAAATTGAATATTGTACATATCAGCAAATTTACTAGTTTAGCATTTAGGATTCTTCAAACTATTTGCTAAACTACCTGATTAAATCGTTGTAATTATTGAACGTCATCGTAGGTTTTGAGATATCGCATACTTTCACAGTATTTACATTTATTATGATTTCCTACCAGTTTTATGTACACCCACTTAAATAATTGTTTTGTATTATTAATTATATTATACATAAGACGCAGCGCCTTTTAAAATTTCGAAGCTTAACAAAAATAAATAATGGAAAGCGCCACATCAAACGCATCGCTTATAACTGAAGAAAAAGGGGAGTGAAGAATGAATGACGTCAACATATAGTACTATATGTTGACGTCTGTACATGCCATTAAAGTACTTTTGTAAGAGGAAAATGCTATCGTTTTCCTCCATTTATATTTTTGAATCAGCATTATGTGTAAGAAAAAGCATCAACGAATTTCAATATTGCAGTTGAGCAAGGCGCAAGAAACTGCTACATACTCCGCACATTAAAATGCAAGTCTCAAAAATCCATATCAAACCGTACAAATCTATAATAAAATCCCTAACACAATAAAAAATTAAACAGGAGATACGTCTTTTCACCACCTACTTAGAAATGTACCTACAATTATCAAAATGCTATTACTCTGTAATTGAGTTTTTGAATGACAATCTGGAAAAATGAAATTTGTTAAAATTTCAATTGGTTTAGTTAGTATTTTATTTGCTTTTTTTTTACATTGACTCAGAAAAATTATGAGCAATACCCTTATTTAGTAACCTAACTTTAAAGCCTATAAATGTACATATACGAAATAAATAAATTAAGGTATCTAAAAAAGTAGCAAAATACTTACTTGACTGAGACAAGGTTCCTTGACCAATGTCCCATAATCAACAATAATGATATTATAATTTCCCTTAGTAAAGTACGCTTTCCGCATATCCGTACTGGGGGACAGGTTTCTTCCCCCTCCGAAGCCATGCACCACAAGCTTGGTAGGATGGTTCGGATTGAACTTAGAGTAGGTCAAGGAATCATCGTCTAACGTGTTAAGAAGTTCGCCTTTTTCTTGAGTTTTCCTGGAAACATAATGAGCCTAGTTAATGTATAGATACGTAAGTAAAAGAGGATGTTGTAATACGTTAACTCGTGTATAATTTTCAAAAACAATGAGATCTGTAGGTGAGAGGTATAGAACCCTAAGTGCAAAATAATAATTTTTACTACAGAGCGTTTCATAAGGAATGAGGCTTTTAACTAGGCGTTTCAAATCAATTTTAAGATCCAATAAAATACGTTAAACAAAAACCAACTACCATTGCGTGATGTTTAGCTTTCTAAAAAGCAATGTTTGTAAAAACTTCTAAACTCCAAAATATGGACTAAAGTCCTTTAACTCTCACCTGTAACTATAGGCGTGTCGTAAAGTACAATGAACAATATACTCTGCAATAATGCACACTTTGAATATTGGACTACTTTATCATAGTTGGCATAGACCTCTAAATGTACAGTTCATAGCAGAACTACAGTTGACAGATAATAAATTAACGGATAAATGCATTGTCTTCGTTACTATTCGATAACTGTAACTTTATATACTTGTTTCTTGAAAAATTATCTGGCTTTCAAGTGACAATTAGTAGCAGTAGAGCGCCTTGTGAAAGAGTTCGTTCAGGGAAGTACTGCCACCTTTATTTCTGCCGCAAAGCCGTAATGTGAACATTACTGCGTTCCAGTTTAAAAGTGTAAGGGTGCTGGTGATATTACAGGCACATGGGACTTGTCAACTTATGTCTCAAGGTGACGGGCGCAGTGGCAGTGCCCATACAATCTTTTTTTATTTTTTATTTATTTAATAGTTTATTGTACAGGAAAAATACAACAAGTCACAAAGAATACAAGCGAAATTAAAAACAAAAGGTTCTGCTTATTTCTAATAGAAATTTCTTCCTGCAGACCTAAATACAGGACACTATAATTAAATACTATCTTTGCAATTTAAAGCTCTGAATGGCACTGCACCTGTAAGGGATGGTGGTATCGCTTACCACCAGGTGCACGACTTGTTCGTCCTGTCACTTGGTGAAATAAAAACAAAAATAAGCGTGGATTGCCACGAACCTTATGTGGACGGAGAAAAGAACAAAACAAACAAACATTACATAAGATAATAAAATTCAGTTCACGTATCGAGCATCTCTAACTACATGCAAACGTGCTCATATGTAACGTCGAACAAGTTTCGCATATCACAAAATCTCTCGATCAGATATGTGTGTCACGATCTTCTCTACGCATTTCTTGTGTAATATGTTTTAACCCGTTCTTTGTCTGTTGTATGATAACCTTTGGCATATAACTTATATTCATATCTTAAAAATAAGGCTCGTTGTATTGGTAATTCCAGTCAAATAAAAAGTAAATAAAGTCGGCCGTCACATAAGGTGACCAACAATACGTAAGTTCCTGTATTATAACGGCCATTCTCACATTCAGTGTTCTCAGCCTAATTACCGTAGCCATTTCGGTGTCCTTAGCTTTATTACCGTAGCCATTGTTTTTTCTCACATGTACCCAATAACATTGAATTATGAACAACTTCAAGCTTAACTATCAATATGTCTAAATGTCATTAGAATAGATATACAAAGTAGTTGTCGAGTTATTAAAACACCAATATTGGATGGAAATCGTAATTAGATCTAATTACCGTAGCCTTGGATACGTTAATTAGAAAGTTCAAACATTTTTAAGAAAAACCGACATTTGGGTTATTTCTACTGATACAAGTGCGATTCAAGATTTTTTAAATAAATTTAAAGTAGGTTTCTTAATATTTGATTAGTGGTAATGATTAAAAATTACTACAAATCTTTCTTATGATTAATCACAGCTGTTTCAAGAACAGTGTAATAATGTACATTTTAATTATTTCTGCCGATGGAAAACCTTAAAAGTTAAAAAAAAACATGTGTCGGTGTGTGGTAAATTAAAATCAAAGTTATTTATATGTTGTTAGTAGTTCTTTATAACTTTTGTTTTTATGTTTTTTTAAATGTTTGAACTTTATTATTACCGTATCCGTGGCTACGGTAATTAGATCTAACTACCGTTTCCATAAAATATTTGTTTCTAAATAACTCGTAAACTATTTTGTCTATTCTAGTGCCATTTAGACATATTGATAGATAAGCTTGTAGTTGTTCATATTTCAATGTTATTGGGTGTATTAAGCGAAAAAACGATGGCTACGGTAACTAAGCCGCAGACACCAAAATGGCTACGGTAATTAGGCTGAGAATGCAGAATGTGAGAATGGACGATAACGTAATGTTAATTTTGAGAGTGATAAGTCATTAAATTAAAATTTACTAATTAAAAATCATAGTCTTGTATTTTTTGTCTTAGTAGGGCAAAGTAAAATATTGTGTGGTCTCCTTCCGGAATCCGGTTTCGTTTCACTCTCAGTTGACCCATTCGCAAATTACAAAATACATTATGTCTCACCAACTCGTTTGTGCAGTCAATTAAAGAGGTGTCTTTCAACAATTATAGAGACAAGGCAATTAGCATTCGGTTTTCCCAGCTGTAAAAATAAACTGGTCCTTGTTCGGAGTACCACCAAATTATTCATGCAGTCAGTCAAAAAGTAGTTTTTAAATAATTATTAAAAATACATTAGGTTTTTGGTTTTCTAAATTTGTTTTACATAAATATGCGCATTTTACTGCACTCTTGATTTTATGTTGCGAGACTCGAGTGCAAACATGGATTCTTATGCTCTCATGGGAATCTCATTTTTCTTAGCTTTACATAATTTAAGATGCATGCTTTTGTGCGACGCTGATATGATAGTGTACTTGTTGCGAGTTGTAATAACTTTGAGTACTTGCCAAGTTACTTTGTAATAGGGCGCACTATAAGTTTTCGGAACTGGCTACTTACATGAACAATATTTAAAAAGTAATTACAACATATGAAAATGGAACCATGCAAGACGACTATTTATAGCTGGTTTGCAGAATTCAAACGCGGTCGTGTGTCTCAGTGACGAATTTCGTGATGACCATCACATCATGCTGTCAACAACAAAAACATCGATGCTGTGCGCCGTATGATCAAAACAAAACAGTCATGTGACGTGCCATGAGATTCGAGCATCTTTAGGCATAGGCATGAGTCAAATACAATCAATCCTACACAAACATTTGGGTGTGAAAAAGGTTCAAAAAACGGATCGCGTCACTTGGTGCAATGCCGTGCTTACCAGATTCAACGAAGGGGCGTCAAATTTGGTGTGGGACATAGTAACAGGTGACGAAACATGGATTTACAGTGACGATCCCAAAACAAAGCAGTAATCGAGCGTATGGGTCTTTCGGGATGAGCCGAAATCAACCAAAGTGGCGCGCGTGCAAAGATCTCTAAGCGAATGATTGCTTCTTTTTTTAATAAAACTGGACACGTGGCTACTGTTGCTTTGGAGAATTGTTGTACCGTGAATAGTGATTGGTACATTACCATTTGTTTGACGAAAGTTATTGACAAACTCCGTAAAAATAACCGTAAACGCCGTATCATCTTGCACCATGATAATGGCAGTTCTCACACGGCCAGACAGACAAATGAATTTTTGAAGGTGAACAACGTTGACCTCATGAGCCATCCCGCGTACAGTCTCGACCTGGCACCTATTTTATTTTATTTATTTTATTTTACTTTATTTATTTCCAAAAATTAAGAACCAGTTACGCGGTCAACGATTTTCATCACCTGAAGAGGCTGTCGAAGAGCATGAAAAATATGTTTCAGAGATTGTCACGGAGGAGTGGCGTAAATGTTTTCAAAATTGGTTCATTCGTATGAAAAAGAGCATTAACGCTAACGGAGAATATTTTGAGAAACAATAAATTCATTTCTGATCATTTATAGCATTTTTTTCTTATTCATTCCGGAAACTTATAGAGCGTCTCACGTACTATTTAGAGTTGCTATGGTATTGTGTAACGGGCCGTTTTCCGCAACTCGTCGTTGCAACGCATATTTTGCGTGTGGTAAATCGCCTTTATTCACAATTACTTTGTTTTGTGGTTAAGTTTCTTAATATTACAGTATTAGATGATTTATTGTCATTATCACTATTGTATTATATACAGATTGCATTGGAAATGTGGATAAATGTTATTATTTTTATATTTTTTTAACCGGCTTCAAAAGAGGAGGAGGTTCTCAATTCGTCTGTATTTTTTTGTGTGTATGTCGCACTATTACTCCGATATTTGTGAACCGATTTCGAAATATTTTTTTTATTGTAACTTCATTAGTGATCCCATTTAAATTTGAAGAATTCCTCCTCTAAAGGTAGCAAATTACAATGAATCCGGTGTATTGAATTTCACACACTTTTCGTTAACCGATTTCAATATAACTTGGCACATGGAAGTAATTCCAATGAAATAAAATGTGATGGTGACCTAGAGCTGATCTGATGATGGCAATGGCAGACAGACGAGAGGAACTCGTCTACAGTATACAGCAGCTACATTGTGTTTAGGCTCATATGATTTGTTTTCATGAGTTTTAGTTACCGTTAAGGAGACCACGGTAACCAACACAGTAAACTAGGATAAGCAAACTTTTGAGGTCGGTTTGTTTTTAACCGATTTCAAAAAAAAGAAAAGAAGTTTTCAATTCGACTGTTTGTTTTTTTGTATGTATGTTACGCGATAACTTCAGCGTTTATAAACCGATATTCATGATTCTTTTTTTTTTAAAAAGAGGTGACTTTAGTAGTAGTCCCATTTAAATTGGAAGAAAATATTTCACCTCTAAATGTGGCAAACTAGGGGTTTAATCCAGTTTTGTGTACTTTCCTATAACCGATTTGAATAAAAGTTGGCATTCAATGTAATTCCAAACAAAGACGATTTTAATAAAAAAAGTTATGATTATTATTTACATATTTGTAATGTTTTTATTTTTTTGGAATATCAACCGGAATATTATTATAGTGTACATTGACCCTTAAATGAATTTGTGAATTTGTGACTTTGTGAAGACGACTGTCAAGAACAAGTTTATGTTAGTTGCTTTATTTATACATACAACAATAATAATCATTGACATAAATCAATGCAAAATAAACAAAGAACTTTTCCATGCAGATTAAATATAGAATAAAAGCAAAAAGACAATGGATCGGCACCTCGTTAGTCACATAATGTTTTATAATAAACATTTTATCTAGTTACCGCGCCCGTAGAAAGTACCTACGTTATCTACAATGAACGACATACAAATATTAATGACGAACAAAACAAAATGGCACGATGTTTAATATTCCATTATGTGCAAAGTGTTCTAATCGCCTAGTCGATCGGACTATGAGAACTGATCTTGCTTCTACGATTTTATTATGGAAACGCGAGGTTGCCTACAACAGCCAAGTCTATACCTTTTTCTTATTATAGAATAAATGCGAAATTGATCTCCAACTCATCTGATGGAAAGTGACGATGAAGTCGATTATGGAGAATGTACACCAAAATAATGCCTATTCACTCTCGCCTTAAAAAGGCTCAAGTTAAGTTAACGTTATATTCAGGGATACACGCTAGATATACATATTCCATTCTAGCGTACTTGCATACTGCAAACAAGGAATTCCACTATGGAGTGGAATTCCTTGCTTGCAGACATAGACACAGACACAGGCTATCGAGCCGCTCGCCTGGAAGCGCAAAACTTCGGCGAATCTTTGGAATATCCACAACTTAAACGGAATTAAATCGTGCAATTCCATCGCACACTCTACGTGATATATCCTGTGGAATGCAATGGTAAAAGATTTCCAACTTCGCCTCAGCTGAAATTGAGGATTTCTAAGTTAAGCACGGAAGTTACGCTTCAAAGTGAGAAATATATTACAACAGCTTTATTTGGTCATTTGCTATTATGATAAGCATGAACATTACGTACGTATGTAATACGTGCGTAATCCGGTAGTGTTATTTCAGCTTTTTTGTATTTTATGACACCAAGAGACGGGATGAAAATGTCCTGCACCTGGTGGTAAACGACACGCTTCTCCATAGCAGCAGCTGCAGTGCCACTCAGAGCCTTAAATCACAACGATCTGAAAGGCACTACCACTGCACCCGTCACCCTGAGACATAAGTTGACAAGTCCCGTGTGCCTGTAATTTCAGCAGCACCCGTACCCTTCAAGACGTGGTGTCTCGGGACACAGTAATGCTCACAATTACTTCTTGGCGACAAAAATAGGCAGTGGCAGTACTTCACTGGACGACGTGAAGAGTTGCGAAGTCTTTCGCAAGGAGCTCTTCTGTTAGATTCGAATATATTATTAGCTAAGGGTACTTTTAAAAAAATACAATGAGGTCCTATTTATACGTCAGAACTATACAACCACAGCACCTATGAATGATACGATGGAGTTCGTATTATATTTGGGAACAACACAGATGGACACTAACCTTGTGTAAAGATAAAACTGCATCCTGTGATGAGGGCAGCGGTATGGCGGAGGGATGCATGATGTGGTGTTCAACAGATCCCGAACTGATTGAGGCTTTTTCTCGGGACGACTGTTCTGGGAGTGATCACCTTCTTGCTGACTTTCTGATACTGAAATCAAGAGAAAAAATCATTGGATCAGACTGCCTGCCACTGAATTTTATTATCACAATGCGTAAGTAACAGATATTTTACAAAAGATTTTTAATTTTATCGTTTCACTACTATAATACCGTTCTTTACTTTATTTAAGCGGAACTAGACACATAGCTTTACATAATGGTGCATTAAAGTTAATGGATGCATGTACGTCCAATTGTACGTATATTATATACCGATTTGTATTCCAATTTTCAATGAAGTCAAAGCTAAAGTCGTTTAATGCAAAACCTGGTCATCGTAGAAGTAGAAATATCACAAAAGTTGTAAGCTATAATGAGGTCAGTCAGAAATAAATGGCGGATGCTTTTGCCTTGTGCCGAGTGACAATTTCTTTTCTTCTTAGTAGCCCCGCATTAGGGAAGCCCTGTATTTTTTTTCACAATTAGCAAGTGCGTGAAAATATTTCGATAACACATTATTTACATTTCAAAGAGGAATTTGTATAAAGATATATTCAACACAACCAGGGCGTAAAAATTGCGTCGCAGTTGTGTCAAGATGTTTTAATGCGAAATTCCTAGTTTGCAAATAGAGTTTCTTTGTTATACATGTTAAGTAAGAGGTACTACACAAGCAAATGAGCATTGCTTGTAAACTTCAAAGATATGCATTTTTGGTTGCATAAGCGTTCCAAAATTAAAAAAATGTATACTTGACTTGTTTTGACTACGGCTATGAATATATTTAGCATGTTTAGGATTACATAATAATTAATCGAGTAGGTCGACTCGGTCTCCTATTCGCCGCTTCACGACCTTACAGTTCCTGTGGAATTCCGATAATATATGGCCGTATTAGAAATTCGATTTTATGTTTCAGGGACCCTGATAATATTTAAGTGTAATAAGACTACTTTTGCCTGTTCGACGCTTCACGTTCCTCGGAGAGTAGGGTTGTCACATTATCGTTTTAATTGTCGTTATCTACAGGTTACAAAACATAATTTGAAAAATTGTTGTGTCATCTCAACGTCGTTCTATATTGAAATAATCTTTGTCAAATGCAGAATTACATATTGATATTTATAATCCGGATTAGTATTTCGATTATGAGAGTATAATAATAAAATAAAAACGAAATGCGAGTTTGTATGTATATAACGATACATTCATAGATAAAAAGTTATAAATTTGACACAGAAAAATATTTGAAACACCGAGCAAACGCTTCAATTCTACAGTCAAAGCTCTGAGTGGTACTGCAACTATTATGGACAGGCGTGTCGCTTTCCATCAGGCGCATGACTTGTTCGTCCCGTAACTTAACTAAGTTACTTAACTTAGTAATATATTATAAGAAACAAATTGCCTTTAACCCTATTTTTCTGCATACTGTCTCTCTGTCTTGAGACACTAGATCACCGTCATAATTATGGCATATCAAATTTGTTCTATATATTTCTAGTTCTAGGTATTTATTGCACCACGATGTACCACGAAGAATAAAACAACCTTTTACATAACACCGCTTTTTGCCCCTTTAGGAATAAGACAAGTGTGAGAACCAGAAACTCATGATCTCTTAACTAGTATAAATTTCCTCATGAACGAAGGCCAGTCTTGTTAAGCCGATTATCAATGAACTAGTGACAGACGTGGTAAAGACAAGACACCATGCTTTCACTATTCAATGGATTCACCATTGTGTTACTTTCAATTGATTGTCACCTGTGTCGCCACAAGTGAACAAATTGCATCGTGATTTTGTAATCGATTCATTGTAGTACGGTGGGTCACAACTAGCAATAAACAATGTATAAAAATTTTATGTTGATAATTGTAGCTTACGTCACTTATATAATTCAAATTTGCAGTTTCAAAATGTTACAAACTGTAACTGTTTAGCTTAACATGTAGCAAGTTTCTACATCGAAAGTCTTGTACTGTAAATATAAAATCACATAGGTATCGGAATCTGAACAAATGGTTTTTGTATAAAGCACACACTTAACTTTTATTATAATGTATTCGTATAATAATAGCAAATAATGCTCGTAACTGAAATTATGTTGTATAATGTCAGATTATTTAATCGGAAACTAGTCTAAGTGAAATTTATTGATGATGTTTACATATTATTACATGACGTTACACACAGTTTAACTAAGTTGTAAATATACCAAAATTATTGCAAGGTAACAGCCCCATATCTTTCTACATTAGTATACGAGAAGGGAGGACTATAACCTGTGCGTGCATAAAAAACCTTTTAAGTTCAGGTTCTAACCTCAGATCAGCCAGTGTACAGGATTGTCACAGACCGATTTCACTGACTTCATCCGGTTCTCTATTTTCCAGATAGGTACCGGAGCTGTAGGTACGCTGACTTCCCGTTGCGCATTGCATAACTAATGGTTGCCACCGCTAAGACGTTGACTCTAAAGTCCACTACCAAATTTCCTCTGGTGACGGACCTGTATATACACTCACCTCCCGGCAACTCTGAAGGTGTCTCTCCAGTTCCCAGAAGCGGCTGAAGCGACCGGAGAATGTTTAATTCATCCTGTTCTAGCTCTTAGGGCTATTACCGGGGATATCGGTCGCAGTGTCCTGCGACAATGTCCGGATACGGCTTCCAACTTAAACGGTAACTCACGTGCCCCATGCATCTCCTCACTTTAGGCCCTCGACTAGCCCGCTACAAAGACGCGCTAGCTGCACACGAGACAGACGCCCCGGCCACACACCACCGGAGCAGATGAACATGTCTGTCTCTGCAACTCACCACAAACTCCACGCCATATCCAAAGCTGGGTCCACCAGAGACGCCCGTGAAGGCTTACCACTGGCGGAAGGCTTGGCCCGGACGCCCGCCGTACCCTGGTCTTATCGGGGAGCCCGTACTCTCTCCGAAACTCTCAATCTCTCGGGTGGGTAGATAGGGACAATTGTAAAGTAACAGTAGAGCTCCTTGTGAAAGAGTTCGTCCAGGGAAGTACTGCCACCTCATAAAAAAAAGTTCACCTTACCAATTTGCCCGCTCACACTAGCCTTACAAATTTGTTTCGTTAATCTCCTTTCATTCATTATCTCTATACGTCCGAACCATCTATGCATCCCTATCTCTAACTTTGTCACTACATCTTGTTTCATGCCGCAACCCTCTCTTGTTAGCAACTCTACTCTAGTAGTCATAATACAGGGAATTCGCCAGTTTGAGATCAGATTGATTGGTGTAGTTGTCTGGCAAATTATTGTTGTTGTTGTCTAACCAGAGGGCATTTACGCAACCTATATGTATGTAAAAGCGTGTGCTCATTTCTAACTACTTGAGATATACGTAACCTGCACAGTTACTTTTGTTATTGTACTGCAATTGGACTGGTCAATTTTTATGAGAAATTCGTTTCGAAATAGTCTTAGTGATCTGGTTTACATTTTTTAAATCGTTACGAGATGTTCTGGAAATTCTTTCAGAAATCATAGATTTTTTTTTTCTTATATGACGACTGCCTCCACCGCCTCCTTGATCTCTTTTTAACAAAACATAATAACTACCTCCGTGACCCGAACGGTTGCCATACTGGTCTGTCACGCATAGGTCCCGGGTTCGATTCCCTCTCCAGAAGAAATATTTGTATGGCCTACATTTATTTGTCTCTGAGTTTGGGTGTAATTTGTAGTTGTGTATGTGTGTCCATGGCACCCGCGACCTAGGGTTTCCCTAGTGAGGGGTCATAGTGTGTGCGTTATTATTATTATTATTTCCTCTATGAAAAAATAAATTTTGTTGTTAAAGTTAAAAAGTTGGTATATCATTTGATTCTTGTGAAATATTTTATATTTTATGTGGAGCTAAATAATTGCTTCATTTATGACTTCTACTCCAAGTTGAAATATGCTCTCATTTACCTGCTGTGATATTGGTGAATTCTTAATTAAAATGTCAACTGTTCGAATCCTCGGCGTCCACTGGGGTTTTAGTGGATTGTCGTGGATATGACCCGGGAAGATACTGCCTCCGTGGCCGAACGGTTACCGTGCCGGACTGCCACACAGGGATGCCGGGTTCGATTCCCGGGCCGGGAGAAATATTTGCATGGCCTACATATATTTCTCTCGTGAGTTCGGGTGTAATTTCTGGTTGTTTATGTGTGTGTTCATGGCACCCGCGACATAGAGTTTCCCTAGTGAGGGGCTATGTTGAGTGAGTGCTAGTTAGGAAATCTTAAGCCTCCCAGAATCGAGAGTATACGTGAAACATTTTCCTGTAAACAAAAAAAGGTACGTTGATAAGGTCAGTTATTTGTTTGTTTATGGTTTTTGTTGTATTTAAAAGCAATAAAATGTCTTTAATCAGCATTGGACCATCAGTGATGTGGACCGAGGCCAAAAACCCTTTTTGTGAAGGAGACTCTGTTCCTGACCCTAGTACTAGTAATTTATTTAAAAATCGTTATAGTACTAACGGAAATTCCAATGAAGCGTTAAAAATATTAATAAGTATTATTAACATTTTACCTAACAACCTAGAGTATTCTAAAGCTGATTGGATCATGTCACGTGCTACGTAGGTGTTGCGAAAACTGCGGCGCGCGTGCAACTTTAACGCATCGTCGCGTAACGTAACTGCGGGTGCAATATTGTGTGACGATATGAGATAAAAGTGACCAGTTTAAAAAGTATGCTCAGCTGGACAAAGTGTTGGATTTTATTGACTGATTTCAAGTAGGTTTTTTTAAGTGACAGGACGAACAAGCCTGGTGGTAAGCGACGCGCCTATCCATAACTCAGATCTTCAAATCGCAAAGATTTTAGAGCCACTGCCGCTGCGTGCGTCACCATGAACCATAAGTTAACCAGTCCCATGTGCCTGTAACTTCACCAGCACCCTTACCCTTTCAAACCGGAACGCAGTAATGCTCAGTTTACGCTTGGCGGCAGAAATAGGTAAGGTGGCTGTACTTGGACTCTTTTCCAAGGAGGTCTACTGCTACTAAATAAAGGTAA